AGAGGATGAATGCAGACTAAGCTAGTTGGTCTGCAAAGCAAAGATGGAAGGAAATAATGCTTTGCTAGCGGCACTCTTTCCACATCCTGAAGTCTAATTGAGTGAGAGTCCTAAAATTTAGAGTTTTGCAGGGTTGAAAATGCCACTTGCTTCTTACTAAACTAAAACTAAAGCCAGTACAAGAAAGGGGCTTCTGAGCGCTAACCTGAAATAAGATCAGTGCCCCAAAACTTTTCATTTGCCAAACAAAGGTCAGATAACATGATGCATTTACTCGCTGGAGCCTGTAGGTTTTCATTACTTTAAGAAGTGTCCATTAAGCTAAAGGTTAGGGGGTTAGGCAGAACATAGAGGCTATTACCAAAGGATGAAAATCTTCATGCTTAAAAACTGTGTCAGGAACCAGCTGAGTGGTGCATTGGTTAAGACCTGGCTTGGGATGCCAGATGGTTCCGGTTCGGATCCCACATATAAGGGCCAGTGACACTGCCCTCTACAGCTAAGATGGTGAACAGCAGCTCGACCTGGAGCTGGGCTGCTGTGAGTCACCGGCAGCGGCAGGTGGGTTGCCATGGGCTGCCGTGTGTAGCCAACAGCCAGCGTGAGCGGCCAGCAGCTGAAGTGAGCGGCCGTCCAGAAGCCAGCGACTGATCTGCCTCGCCCAGGAAGAGTGCAATGATGGTACCAACTTGGGCCAGTGAAGCAACATCCTCCACAACTAGACTGAAGAACAAAAGGATTACAACTTTTCTGTTCCCCTTCCCCCAATTCCCCAATAAAAATCTTTAAAAAAAAAAAAGCTGTGTCAGCATGTTTGCCTGTGGTTACTTGTACATGGAAATGACTGGAAAACAAAACAAAACAGATTTGACGCTTATAATGTTTTTGAATGAATTGTATTGCCAAGGAACTTGGTTATCTCCAACTCTTAAGGCCGCTTGGGCTGCTGAACTCATATCAACAGGAAGTGGACTATGAAAGCTTCAGAGCCGCAAAGAAAGGCTTCTTCTCCAATATCCTCACTTCCAGACAAGCAGGATCCCCCAGAGGACAGAACTAGGAGCCTTGAAGAGCAGTGGACAAGTGAGGGTCTTTGGGTCTCTCAGAAAACAGGATTAGGTGTTGCCGGATTGGCTGACCAGGAAATTTATTGTTTTGCCAAAAGCAAGGAGATCTTGCTCTTCCTGTCCACTAGGATTTAGGATTTGCTGGAGAGTAGCAACTGCCGTGTGTCTCCCATTCCAGTATTTTATTGCTGCATCCTGTTTGTTCTTTAATATGGCCTAATAGGTATCTACCATGGGAGCCACCACTGGACCTAATGGAAAGGCTGGCACATCAGCCAGAGAGCCTTGATTTGAATCTGGATGAGACTTTAGGGGTCAGGTAGTAAATGGGCATACTCTATAAATGGGAAGAAGGGGACATATTCATGTTCTGTAACTCAGAGGATGGACTGCTGGTTGCTTCTCCAGTATCCATTCTTTCTTACTAACCAAAAAATTGTGTTCAGGGTGCAGTGTGCCAAACCGCCCCCACCACCAAAAACTAATTTCTCAGACCACGTGACACCTTTCTGGCCAATGTAAGCAGCTGTCTATTGGATGTTGCTTCCAAGAAGGCTCTTGTTTTCCTGTTAAAAAGGCATAGGCCAGGGCCGGCCGAGTGGTTCAGTTGGTTAAGAGCTCACTCAAGAGTTTGAGCTCTGGGGGCCGGCCGAGTGGCGCGGTTGGTTGAGAGCTGGCTTGAGATGCCAGAGGGCCCGGGTTCGGATCCCACATATGAGGGCCAGTGACACTGCCCTCTGCAGCTAAGATGCNCTACTCACAACCACCATGACTGCTCATCCCATTCAGAGCAGTGTGTAAAGTCCCTACAAACCATGACCTCTAAAACTATATCATCTGACCCCTGTTAACTTCCTGCGTCAGCTCAGCACATCCTGCTCACTCTTCCCATCTCAGTGCCTTCTTTGAGGGTGCCAGAATTTACCAAGGACTTTCCTGTCTTAGGACATTTATGCTGTTGCTTCTTCCTAGGATATTCTTCTTCCACATGTCCTGAAGTCCACATTTAGTAAGACCAATAGATTTTAATCTGTCTTCCCCTTTGAATGGTTGTTTTACCCATGCATCATTTTGTAACATGCACTGATGATTTGGAAAATAGTTTCACTAAATAATGCATAGATTCCAAATGTTGACGTAGTTCAATATGTAACATTTTAAAATTACATCTATTAATATCAACATCCATCTCAGAAAAATCAGTACCAAAAAAGCACTGGGAAGCTGTCAAGCTCATGGTAGCGGATATGTTCTCCAGAATTCCAATTTTTACTTGAAAGCTTGAATTTTATCATTGTCAGCAAAAACTGTCAGTTTTCTTGAAGTGACCAACTCACTTCACTAATTTTTCAAGAAAAAAGCCTGCCAAACACCCAAGTCTGAATAATCATAGTTTGTCAGTGGTTCATTCAAATTCATAGAAAAAGCTCTACTACTTCTGCTCAGCACTCAAACAGTACAGAAAATGATTTTGACTTCATGGGTTCCCAGAAAGGGTCTCAAGGTCCCTCAGGGACCCACAGCTTTGAGAATCGCTATTCTAGTTCAGTTCTTCACTTTGCATTTAATGAGGTTTGAAATTCAGTAGATTATTAACCCAAGGCCATAAACTTCATGACAGAGCCAGAGTTGGAGTCCAAGTGTTNAAAAAAAAAAAAAGAGTTTGAGCTCTGAGCAACAGAGTCACCGGTTCGATTCATGGCCCGAGCTGAGCTGCCGCTGAGCTGCCTGGCTCAGCTAAAAAAAAAAAAGGCAGAGGCCAAGCTCACACTTTCCTTTTCCTCTTTTTCCTTCTCCCTTCTTGCCTGGAGTGCAGATGTGATGTGACAGCAGCAGTGAAGACAGAAACCACACAGGAAAGGTAGCAGAACAGGAAGAAAAGAGCCTGTGTCCTTAGTGGTACTAAGGATCCTCAGTAGCCTGGGATTGCCTTAACCCACATTTCTTGATATATGAGAAAATTAAATCTCTTACTCATTTAAACCACTGTTTGGTGGACTTTTGGTTAATCTGTCTTTCCCAAGTAGATTGTGAAGTCTATGAAGCTGAAGAGAGTTGGGGTTTTTTTTCATTGAGGCAAAATTGACGTATAACATATTAGTTTCATGTCTATAATATAATGATTCAATACTTGTATATATTATGAATTGATCACCACAATAACTAGTTAATATCTGTCCCCAGACATAGTTACAAAATTCTTTTCTTGTGATGAGGATTTTTAAGATCTATTCCCTTAGCAACTTTCGAATGTGCAGCACAGTATTATGAACTATATCCACCATGATCTGTTACTGAAGAGGCTGTTAATTCACCTCTATATCTTCATTTCTTGGTGTAATGTCCAGCATAAAATAGACACACATATGTTTGATAAGTGGGACGATTTACTGCCTTTGTAGTAAGTTAAAACCTCAACTATAATCTGGAGAAGCCTCCAAAAATTTGGTAAAAGCAGGTGAGATATAAATAATGGTTAAATAATACTTATTTAACTGGTTTTCATTTACCAGATTTACCATCTGGCTTATAAGAGCATTATTTTTAAAGAGATCAGCTATTTTTTTTATTAAGTGAGAATTTCCATTTTCCTTCTGAATTGAATTTGTTTTAGTGATACCTTTTAAAAAAATTTTAATGACTCAAATTTACAGAAGAGGTACAAGAAAAGTTGAAGGATATGGTAATTTCCTTTACCCAGATTCCACAAATGCTAACATTTTACCACATTCACTTTATCATCCTCTCTCATTTTTTTTCCCCTGAACTTTCTGAGGGTAAATTGCAGACATAATGTCTCTTTCCCCCCAAATGAGTATTTTTAAGAATCATGACAGCCCACTTGGGTTTAGATCTGGAGAAATACTTTAGGGTGTATTTCTTAAAAATACTCCAGCGTGTGTTTCCTAAATTTACAAGGATAGTCTCTTATGTAACCACAGTATAATTATCGAAGCCAGGATATTAACATTCATACAATTCTGTTATTCAAATTTTTCCATTTGTCCTGACAATGTCCTTTTATAACATCAGAAAAAAAATAATTTCCCTCTGGTCTAGGATCCAACTGAGGATCACACAAATGGCATTTTGTCATTATGTTTGCTTAGACTTTCTCAACCTGGACCAGTTCTTCAGTCCTTCTTCATCTTTCAGGACCATGATGTTTTTGAAGAATGTAGGCAAGCTGTTTCATAGAATGCTGAATACCGTGGTATGAGCATTTTTTGATCTTGACAGTTCACCCGGATTCAGCTTTTGTGGAGAAAAACAAAGGAGAAATCATGCATCTCCTCAAAATTTTGTATCCTAAGAGCTTTACTTAGTTGACTTTGGCAAGATGTCTTAACTGGGAATCAACGTTGATTTTTGTTGTTCTTGTTGTTTAACTATGTTTCTCAATGGGACACTATTGGCATTTTGAACAGGATAGTTCTTCACTGCATCAGACTGTCCCACATGGCCCTGGCATCTGCCCACTGAATTCCAGTAGCATTGTTCACTTGGTGTGACCACCCAAAACACCCCCACTTAAGAACCACTGTTATGTAAAATTTGGTATCTTTAAATTAGGATAGCAGTCTTGGTTTTTGTATAATGGGTAGTATAAAAACATTTTCTTATTGATGGTTTTAATTATCAGTAATTTATAATCAGATGGCTAATGTGATTTAGCCTAATTCTGTTGTTATTTAATTAGTTATATTTAATAAATAAATGATAAAGGGTTAAGTTGGTCATATATGTTTTTATATATGAAATAAGAATCCTACAATCTCCATTTAAAATCAAGAACTTAGGAGTGAACTGAAGTAAAATATCCCTGGAAGATTTACCTTAAAACTCCATATTTTACTGTTATAAATTTTAGGGGGAAATGAGTATTTATATTTAATTTTAGACTTAATGATTCTCTTTTTGTTTGTCTTTCAGAATTGGTCCCTAGGAAAGACCTTCTTTTAGAAAATGTGCCATATTGCGATGCACCAACTCAGAAGCAGTGAATTTTCTAGGATAAAATCACGTCTTTGTAATTTTTAACTTTAAAATGTATAACTGGCAAAAGTCCTGGAAATGCAGATATTTTTCTCTGAACTGGCATATTGAAAATGAGTGAATTAAAGTATTGTTTTATAATTAAATTTCATGTTAGAAAGACATTGCTGAAAACTACAAACCATAGTTAAGTATTTCTAAAGAACATAAGATATTTCATTTTCATTGAAAGTAAATGCTTAGGGTGGTATATCATATTTACTTCTCTTTGACCTTGATGCATATTTTGGTCTTACCATAACTACCATATTTTGCTGTGTATAATGCACACTTTTTTGCCCAAATTTGTGAGGGAAAAATAAGAATGCATATTATATGTGGGTAGTATTAATTCTGTATCTATATAAATGTTTTTAATTCTTTTATTTATGCTTATGAGTTAAAGTGTAACTCTAGAAATCAATAACGACATCTGTATGCAAAATGATACCCTGGAATATGATAATGGGTTTTGTTGAACTTATGACAAACTTGCAACGAAAGCAATGTCGGCCAGTGAGTCAATGAAATGAAACCAAGAGCGAGGTATTGTCCACAGAGTAAATGACTGACTTGATAAGATAGATGATGCCAACTTTATTACCACAGGGTGAACAACGACGTTTCTCTTTCTACACTTTAGGTGGGAGCTAGCAATCTACCTGATATTTTCACAAAAATTATTGGAAAATGTCTAAACGGTTTTCATACACTGCAAGCTTTAAGCTAACAGTTATTAAATTTGCTAAAGAGCATGGCAACAGAGCTGCCGAGAGACACTTTGGACCTCCTCCCACAGAGAGTGTCATCAGGTTGTGGAGGCAACAGGAAGAAAAGCTTCTTCAGATGCCAAGACAGAAGAAGGCAATGCGAGGGAAACCTCCAAAGTGGCCAGAGGTGGAGCAAGAGGTGAAGACCTGGATTCTGGAGCAGCGTCAAACTGGGATCTCTGTTTCGGCCAAGATGATACAAGAAGAGGGTAAAAGGATCGCACAAGAAAAAAACATTGATGATTTTTCAGGGACACCTAAATGGTGCTTTAACTTTATGAAGAGGGAAGGTTTGAGCTTGAGGACACAAATGAAACTTGCCCCAAAACTTCCAGCAACCTATGAGAATCAAGTTTTGGAATTTCATTCTTACGTTATCAACCTTCGAAGGACTTACAACTTTGAGCTGTCCCAAATCGCCAATATGGATGAGGTCCCACTCACATTTGATGTGCCATCCAACAGAACTGTGGGCATCAAAGGAGTAAAGACTGTGGCTGTTAATACTAATGGACATGAGAAAATACACTTCACTGTTGTTCTAGCCTGTTGTGCAGATGGGACAAAGCTACCACCTATGATCATCTTTAAAAGAAAAACGTTTCTGAAAGAAAAGATTCCAAGTGGAGTCATTGTCCACGTGCATGAAAAAGGATGGATGAATGAGGAAGGCATGAAAATCTGGTTTAACAAAGTCTGGTCACGAAGGCCTGGAGGATTACTTAAAAAACCAGCTTTGCTTGTTTTTGATCACTTCAAAGCCCATGTTACACAAAGTGTAAAAGCAATCGCAGTGGACTTGAAAACCCAACTTGCTGTGGTACCTGGTGGGCTAGCCAGCCAACTGCAACCTCTTGATGTGTCAGTAAACAAGCCCTTTAAGGCTCTAATGAAAAAAGAGTGGACGTCGTGGATGCAGTCAGCTGGTAATGATTTAACATCAACAGGCAGAATCAAGAAAGCATCCATTGCCCAGGTTTGTGATTGGACCCTAAGATCATGGAGCCATGTCAAGAAGGAAGTGGTTGTGAAATCTTTAAAAAAATGCAGCATCAGCAATGCAATGGATGGAACTGAAGATGATGAAATTTACCAGGAAGAGGAAAGTGACTCTTCAGAAGACACTGGTAATGCAAAAATTGAAGAAGTCGATACTTCTGATATTGACAGTGATGAGTTCTTGGCCTTCTATGATGCATAAATATCATAAATTTATTACCGGTACATAAAATTTCTTGTACCTTGTATCTGTTCTTGTGTTTTGTAATTATTTGTTACATAAAATTTCTTGTACCATAATATGTTTTTTAAAATGCTAAAATTCCTTTAAAATACAAAAAACAAGCACCTAAATATAAACATATAAAAATTTGAATTAAAAAAGTTAAAAGATGTTTTCCCTGAAACTTTGGGCCAAAAATGTGGGTGCACATTATACACAGCAAAATATGGTACTTGAGAATACAGTGTTTTGACAAGTTGGTGGGTTTTCCTCCCATGTGAAATGAAACTATTAGGTTAAAATTATTAGATTAAATTGATGTGTAGTCCCCAAAACATTAAATTGGTCAAAATATCACAGTGTGTGCCAGCTCTCCACAGAAGGTGGCTTTTGTTTTCTAAAGCACTGAAATTATTTCTGTAGCTAACAAATAATAGTAGTTTCTTTTTAGAGATAGAGAGTATCTCTATGTTCCTGTTAAGACATTTTTAAATAAGTCTTCTGAAGATAGATGAATAAAATATTGAAATCACCTAGGATCAACTGTGGAGTAAAGAAGACTAATTTTTTTAAAGAAATAGTGGCCCTTAGTCAAACTGTATAATATAGCCTTAGTAGAATTAGCTGTACTTAGACCATAGCTAAACTTCATTGTAAAAATTTAATATATGACTACATCCTCCTCATTTTAATCAATAAAACTTAAGTGATTTTTCTTTCTTCACATGTTCCATCCCTGACGAGACTGGCAGTATTACATAACACCTAGGCATTCTACCATCTAATGGTAGGAACTATAAAATTACATTTAATATTTTTCTTGTTTCTCTTTTATCTGTATATCTTTACCATTGTTTTTCTCAGTGAACAGTGTGTTTTCTCCCATTCACTGACCGATTCTCCCATTCAGTGATAACTCAGGGTTTTTAATCTTTACAAGAGTTTCAATGCAATCTTTGTTGGCAAAACAGATTGGTATATCCCAACTGGATATAAAATTTCATACTTAAAAATACTTTAATTTTAGGAGATCAACACATTATCAAAATTATTTACACATAGTGCACTTAACATTAAACTAGAGACTACCCTTAATGTCTCCCAATACTTTTGAGGAGTTTAATTAGTAGTGTGTGAAATGGATTATACATGTCAAAAGAGTTGCTACATAATTTTTACCTCTTGTGTATATTTCTTATGTACGTGGAAATTATAACTACATAAAAATTAAAACATATACATATATTCTGGATACTAATTCTGTGTTGGTTATCTGTGATGCAAATGTCTTCTTCCAGTACATGACTCATCTTTCAACTCTGTTTATGATAAACCTGTAGTAAGGGAGTTTTAGTATATCCATTTTAAAAAATCTTTTCCTTTATTGATTTTGTACCTTGTCAAGAAGTTCTTTTCTACTCCAAAGTCGTAAAGATGTTCTAACACATTTTCCTCTGAACATTGAAGTTTTGCTTTTTATGCTGGGGCTTTTACGCCATCTAGAATTTATTTTTGTGTAGGATATAAAAGAGGGATCTAATTTTATCTTTTTTTAAAATGAGAAAACAGTTGGCCTCAGCGTTGTTTATTGAAAATAACCCATCCTTTCCCTGATTACCTATAAAGTGATTTTGATCATATCTCAAGTTACTATACAGTTGACTCTTGAACAACACAGGTTCCAATTCTGTAGATCCACTTATACATGACTTTTTCAAAAAATACCTGTATTGTTTTTGATCCAAAGTTAGGAGTCTGTGGATGTGGAGAGCAACTGTATGCATTAATCTATGCCATTTTATGTAGGGGACTTGAGCATCTGTGGGTTTTGGTATCCGCTGGGGAAGTCCCAGAACCCACTACCCTTTGGATACCGAGGAACAGCTTAAGTTTTGGGGGAGTCAAAAGTTATACACATTTTCCACTGTGTGAGGGGTTGGCACCCCAACCTAACTTTGTTCAAGGGAGAACTGTATATTGGAATCAGTCTAACTCTCTTAGCTGTTTAAGGACCTTTCTCCTACAATTATTCCTCTCCTCTGCCAAACGTTTTTTGCCCTCTCTCCACTAGATTGATTTCCATAGCGTTTAACATTCTGAAATATTTCCCATCTTAAAAAACAACTTTCTTGAAACCCCTGCCCTCAAGCTTCAGCATCATTTCTCTCCTCTTCTGTGTTCTAAGAGGTTTCTACACTTAGCACCTCCATTTCTCTCCCCATTCTCTCTTGTACAGACCCCAATCAAGATTTAATCCAAACCACTCCACTGAAACCCTTTTTGTCCCAGCTACTAGGGACCTCCTCTTGGTAAGCCCAGTGGTCAATTCTCAGTTCTTATTTTATTCATCCTTGCAGTAGCAGTTTTTGATTGTTCCCTCTCTTCCAAATGGAGACATAGACGTTTATTGTAAACCTACATAAGTAGGATACAGCCATGAAGCAAAGTAACAAAAATGTCTGCCTCATCTTCTGTTTGTCATTTTAGATCCACTCTCAGTCCTTCTTCACCCTACTCTCAGCCTTCTCTGGAGAGACTGGCCTGTGTGAACCAGCTCATGTGCCTCCTGTACCCTCCCTCTGACTTTTAGTCCATTCAGCCAGTGGGGGGCCCTGGCAGGAGATCAGAGGGAGGGAGAAGAGTGAAGTCAGGTTATTTACTTTCCTGGCTCTATCCCTGAGAGGTCACCTGAGGCTGGCAGTGTACCTCAAATTTTCTCTCAATATAACCTCTATACAGTTCTTTGTTTCCAGTTTGGGGAAGAGCTTTTCTCCCCTCCTCAGGTTCGGGTAGCAACAACTCTTTTGCTACTATCCATGTGGGTCTCCCTACACCCACAGTTTTATAAATAGTCCCTTTATAAATAAATCTTTCTCAAACTACCATATTTTAAGTGCATCATCTGCTTCCTATTGGGATGCTCACTAATTCACTACCCTGGGGGAACTTACTTTCTGGAAATTGGAGACAGACAATAAACATAATTAAAAAGTAAATGAGAAGGCGATAAGTAATATGGAGAAAGACAAGACTGGAACGGGAGATAGGGAAGCTAAGAACAGGATATTACAGTTTTAAGTACTGTGATGGGGGAAGGTCTCACTAAGTGATAGCTGAGCAAAGATGAAAGATGTGAGGGATCCAGCCATGCAGATCTCTAAAGGAAGAGCTTTCTAAGTAGAGCAAACTGTGGTGCAGTGTTCCTGAGACAGGTTCATGCCTGCTGTGTTTGAGAAGAGCCAAGTGACAGGAGCAAAGTGATGTAGGGGGACAGTAGTCATAGTAATGATATGGTAGAGGGAGGTGGGGAGAGGCTGCTAGGTTATGTAGGATAGTACAAGGACTGTG